GGAGGAAGAGGAGGAGGGGGAGGAGGAGGAGGAGGAGGAGGAGGAGGTAGTGGTGGTGGCGGGGATGGCGACGTGACGTGGTAGGGTGATTTGTGTTGAGCAGCAGGTGGAAGCAGATACTTGGTAGGTAGTGGATGGTGAGGGCTCGGCGCTGATATATTAGCTGCTTATTTAAGTGCAGCCGATTTCATGTACAGGATTTGCTGCTATTGTTTTCAGCTGGACTCGGCTTCCCTAGGCTTGGGAGAAAACACAAAAAACCAATACCTTAACAGGACGGAGTATGGTCACTACATCAATGCGTATCGCAGATACATGAACGACATAGCTAAAATCCTAAACCCGGGGGCATCTGACTACTCGTTAGATACCAGAAAGCTGCTGGACTTTGAAACAGAGCTGGCTATGGTGAGAGCGTGATTGTAAACAGTTGATCGAATTATAGTTTTCACCTCGACTCCTACCGAATACTGACAAACGTCAGATTGAAGACGCTGTCATTGGTGTTTAGTGTTATTGGTGTTCTTTTGTATGTCAGTTGTAATAGTCATTAAACGAATAGAGTAAATTTGAAGAAAATAGCCTAAGAATGTCCGCTTCACAATACAATACATTAAATAACTAAAAGTACCAATGAAAGCTATTAAAGATTTGACCGCGAAACTATACCGCATTGGAAGTTAAGATCAGAAAGCAGAAATTATTTAGTGCTTTATTTCTGTGACGTTTCGTCGTAAAATACGTGCGTGCACTGACGTCATCAATGACGTCATCTACATGATCGTTACAGGTGCATGCCGATCCGTACGAAAGACAGAATTCAGTCAAACTCAATAACGTGACGAATCTTCGGAACCTCAGCGCCACCTATACGGCAGTAAGCAAGTTAATGCGCCCTGCATACGTTCGTTTACAGTTAACGCATACAGTTCGGTTAGTGGAATCCTCGGCTCGATAGCAAAGATTCAATAATCGTTCAATAATTGAGCGCTATTGCTTAATTTACGTAATCAAATATTATGCTAGGGGGACAGCAGTGTTTTAGCGCACTTGCTGCATGGCACGTTTCGTAACACTGCGACCAGAATATTTTGTGTCTCACTTGCTGCGACGTAAACTACACCGCGTTAAACATTGCCACAAGCTCTTTATGTAATATAATCTCAGATGATATAAATCGAAGTGTAAAGGCATCGCACACGCTCGATGACCCCCCCCCCCGTTACACCTGTAGCGCGAAATAATGTTCGCCTAATGTCACTAATTAGACGATGTCCGTGAAATATACACGTAGAACCCATCCAGGTACGTGCAACGTACGGTCCATCGCGATAGGTCAACAATCTTACATCATTATCGTCACTGCAGCTGCTGTAAATCCGGTGTATATTCGCAGGTTGATTGGACACGTTTAATATCAATGATAAGGCCGCACGCTATAGAAATAGGGCCTAACGATTCGATCGTCGTCGTTCAGCCAGCGTACATGAGAGACGTGGACGACCTACTGCGATACGGAATATACGAAGAACGGTTGACATCTTCGCTTATTATTAATTATATACATTAATTTGTATAAATTAATTATTAAATTTGTATAATTTAATTATTAAATTTTTATCATTAAATTTTTAAATTTTTATAATTAAATTTATAATTTATTATATTTAGTTATATTTTATTATTTAGAATGATTATATTTCATTAAATATTATCTTAATTTCTGTCTGTGACTCGGAGAGCGTTTCCCGAATTCCTTATACCCGCATTCCCTTCCGTATACCATAACCCTAACCCTGCCAAAACCTATATATGGTATGAGGGAGGAGTCTATCAATATATATTGATAATATATATATATTGAATAATATTAATAGACTCCTGATGGTATGAGGAGCACCTAAGCCCTTTTGTGTTCATGTGCTCTTGGTGGAATTCCTAGCAAACGTATAACGTTAAAACACGCTAATCTTATGCAGTCGACTGTATAATGAGCAGTAATCGAATCTGACTGGGCGATTATGCCAGCTACATTGTGCGTATATGTATGCATAAATAACGAGCAAAACCATGTTGGCTACGGTGCTTATAGCCGCACTTGTTTTTTGCGTCTTTTCACTTTTTTCGCCGTCCGAAATGTATGATTAAATTACATTTAATAACGCCTATTAAAAATGAGCGGCAACAAAAAGAAAACGCGCCTTAATCAAACATTTTTTCTATCCCCGTAGCCGTGACGCGTCCACTCGTAGTTAGACTCTATTATTGATGATCTGCAATTAGGGATTAATTCTGATAATTAGTGATTAATTCTGCATCATATCCTGTTTTGTGATCCACGCGCGTGAGATTTTTATCGTTTTATATCGTTCAGTTCCACCCCGTTATTGTTCTAATTGTCGCCAACCCCTATCATCCGTTATCGTCATATATATGTATATGTGTATGTATATATGTATGATTAATATTATCAGGAGCGTATAATGACAAATTTTGTCAAATACTGTCAATAATGACAAATATTTGTCATTATACGCTCCTGATATTATGTGTATGTGTATGTGTAGGCCCTATGTGTATGCGTATGCGTATGTGTATGCGTATGTGTATGCGCATGTGTATGCGTATGCGTATGCGTGTA